CAGCAGGCAAATCCTCATGTACTAAGTCTAATCGCCAACATGGACACTGGGTCTCATCGCATTGTCTAGAGCTTATCGATGTTCGCCGGCACACTCCGGCTGGAAGCGAATTCAATAAGAGTCGTAGAAACTCCGGGCAAAACTCCGTGCTAGTCTGAAGAGAGCCCGCGAATCCTGGTGGTCTTAACGTGTCTCAGAGATGGAAATGGTGGCTGTTCTCGGTAACCGCCTAAGTTATCCCGTCTGATACGGGAGATCTGGTGTTAGTAAAAATATACGTGATAAGAGTGGACAGCCTGTCCACAATTTGTCAAAAGCCTGGAGCGTTGGGCTGAGCATTTTGAAAGGCAATCTATTCTGTCAGAATTGTCAGATTGCTCGCCAGCCAAAGATGGCTTTGCTCCGTGAGCTGTCGCTTTGGGTCCGCCCTCTCGCTCAGAAATCGAACATGAAATCGGGTTGCTGAAGTTAAATAAAGCCGCGGGACCAGGTGATCTTCCTCCAGCACTCTTGCAATTTGAGGGACTTGTCACTGTGAATAATGTACATGTGTTACTAGTGAAACTGTGGGAGCAGGAAACTATTCCAGCAGACATAGTCCTAATTGTCAACGGAGGATCACGATCAGACGCAGCAACCATAGAGGAACCAGTCTGATCTTCATCGCCTATCAAATTGCTTGCCTCTGTCATCCTCCACAGACTGACTGGCACTCGTGAAAGCTATATTCATGAAGAGCTAGCAGGGTTTCGTCGAATTCGTGGCTGCATTGACCACATCTTCACTTTGCGTCACTTGTTGGAACACCGTCACATATATTGACGGCCCACCGTTTTCGTGTTCCTCGATTTCAAATGTACATACAATTCGGTGGATAGACGTGCCCTGTCTATTCAGGAAATGTGTACCCGAGAAATATGTAAATATTATCAGAGAATTATACACGCATAGCTCGGACAGATTGAGGGCTTACGGCCGGTTGTCGTTGCCCTTCATGATTTCCAGCGGTGTAAGACAACGATGCGTGCTGTCGCCTTTCCTCTTCAAGTTCGCTATTGAAGAAGTCATGGAAAGTGCGTTAATTGGACATGATTTGAAAGGTGCGGATCTAGCCCCAGGAGAACGACTTCTTGACTCGGAGTATGCAGACGATATTGCCCTAATCTGTGAGCGCTTGCGGACGTGCCAAGGTGCACAGAACTGATTAGCACTGGCTGTCAGCCGCTTCGGGATTTGCTTTGCACCATCGAAATGCAAAACATTCCTCCAAGATTGGCAGGGACCGCTTCCTGCACTGATCCTTGGTGGCGATCAGCTAGAAGTCGTGCAAAAATTCAACTGTCTGTGAAGTTGCACCAGCGCCCCAGGGATTGAAGATGAGTTTAGGAACCGTATAGCAAACCTTTGAGGCGCATTTTCTAACCTTCACCACTTATTACGCCGGCATGACATCATGCTTGCCGTGAAGGGTAGCCTGTACAATGCAGCGGTAGTTTCGACCCTACTGTACGGTTGTGAAACCTGGCCCCATAGACCAGCCGACATAAAGAGGCTAGTAACGTTCGACCCTCGGCGCCTTCGAAATTTGGCTCACATCTGGTGGGAACCTCGAGTGGGCAACCAGCGTGTTCGACGCTTTGTTTACGGCACAGGAAAATGTAATGAATCACTCAGCACCGTTATTTCACACACCAGGCTTCGATGTCTCGGCCACGTGACAGGCATGCCAGCCCACAGCCTCCTGTGATGTGCGTTGTTTGCGCGCAGAGGGTATGGATGGAAGGAGAGCCGAGGTGGCCGAGCGATGACTTGGTCGAAAGGAATGAAAGCCCACAGTTCGAAGCTGGCCTCGGATGGAGCATCTGGTCTCTTTGGTTGGGGTCCGAAAAATGATGAACACGTTTGGCTAGATACACTTACTGAAATGGCTACGAGCGGACCTCAGTGGCCTTTTTGCAGTGAAATTATTTGTCAGGTTGGTTGGACACACTTGCTGACTTGCCGAACAGGCTGGCTTGCCGAACAACCTCCTCGGAGTGCCAACTAGGTTGTTTTGGATTATCCCGTTCCAGTCACTCTTTCCGCAGCAGTGTTCCAGGACGTGGTGGGTTTTCGCCTGGCAAGAGATCTCCGTACAAAAATCTGCATATGCCTGCTTGACAACACCCTGACGTGGCGGAGGTGATTTACCACTAAATAAAGTCACTGCCCCTTGCTTTATATTGGCGGCGCCTTTTATTCCAGCAACTTAATGCTGAAATGGGGTGGAACATTGTGCTTATGTTTGGTAAACGAGCAAATGAAAGGGGTATGAGCTGGACCATCAGCCACCGGCTCCCAATAGGCGCGATTCCCTGAATTCGTTCCGCTGCCTTAAGGAGAGGTCATTCGGCCTAGGGCTCGGGGTGGTATCCCCTAAGTCTACACCCTATTACAGCTTGGGCAACCAGGTAGTACCTTGCCCTATGATGAAAACATGGACTAATCCGTGTTGTGCTTTTACGATATCTGTACTTTCCTTTGAGTTCCATGGTTTTTGCCGGTTCCATGCCTATTCGTAGGCTGTTAGTATATATATATGTATATATATATATATATATATATATATATATATGATTTCGTGTTGGATACGAGATTATTTGACGTCTAACGTCAAGGTTATAACATTCACGAGTAGCAAGTATAGGATCCTGTCAAAATCAATCGGCTTAAAGGTATGGAGGTTACAATAGTTTGAAGGAATGTGCCAAAACTAGACTCAGCAAAGTTGTCACCAGCGACCCCGTTTTAATTACTTAGTAGTCTGTCTAATCGATGTAAATGATATATAATTGTGCTAGGCTGATGAAGAATTATCGAAAACATATTCGCTAACATTGACTTTTGAGCAACCGACGTGTCTGCTGGCTGCTTTTTCCTTCTGGTGGGTATCAAAACCGCCAATTGGCTGTTCGATGTCTGTTACCATACCGAAGTAATACGCATTTCTCTCTACTCCAATATAGCGTAAACAGTTGTCTAGGATTTTGAAGTAAGTTAAAGACTAAGTTGTTAGTTACCAATGTATCAACCTCCGGTCACATTGCATTAGTAAGCTGCTATGGAAGACCAGGCTTCGAGCACAGCACGTTAGTTGTACGTAATCTGTTTATGACGATTAGCGGAGTTTGGTAAAATTGACGATCCCACACCATTAGAGAAATCATCTGATAAGGCTACTGTCGGTATTAGTCTAACTTACATCTACGTTCCTTTGTTTCCGGAGTGCCTCAAATTGCTATCAAAAGCCCAAAAGTAATTGGTGCTCGGTTATCCAATTTGCAACGGCGACTTATTGCTGAATGAATCCCAGTACAAAAACTGCACTGCTTCTCCGTTGAAATTGGCATAAAGATTTTTCTGGTTGCACCGCTAATACAGCACAATGTATGATATCAGCATTAGGCTTCCTGCAACGGGCTGCAGCTCGCGATATTCAGAAATGTACCATAACTATAGCTTTTGCTTACACCCTCCATCCTTTTAACAGTGGGCATAAGTGGAAAACAATTGTGCCCCAGGAAAGAAATTCTTTATTGTTGTTACCCTTTTGTGATTGCTATGAACATATGAATATGTATATGAAACAGTGCCATTGTGGCGGGGGCAAACAATACTAGCAGACAATTAATCACAGTCGCAAAATTTGAGAGAAATTATAAGGATATGGCCGATGAACACCTGCCCACCTTAACACTAAAACGAACGAAAAATATATTGATACTGTGACAACATTTCATTTCGGCACTTTTTTATAGTGGCAGCTGCTTTAACCCTAATGTTTGGGCTACACAGATTTAGATGAATATATGTGAACGCAAACGAGTGGAGTTCAAAAAGAACCCGCACTTTTGAAATGGCCCGCCAACCGGCAAAGGGAGCTCGTCGCAGCAACTGAGCGCATGAGTAGGTTTGTTTGGACAACAAACCGTCATTCGCCGCATTTCGCACTAACTGTTAGTGAGCGAGCTACAGCCGTTGAAGTGAGCACCTGCACAAGCCGTTCGTCTAATTAGTGACAAAAAGCCAATGAAAGAGCTGGAAGAACGCGGGGGAATTTTGCTACAAACTTGGCAAAACATTTACACAAACGTTCGCATTGCTTAGCCAAGTATACGGGGAGGAGTGTAGGAGTCACACGCAGTGGTATAAATAGATTAAATGTTTTGGACACAACAGAATGTCGGTCAGTGATAATCCTAAGCCTGGACGACCTTCCACATCCACGGAAGATGGTCACGTCGAGAGTGTTCGTGCTGTGACCCATGAAAACTGTCGTTTAACTCTCCGAGAGGTTGCTGACGAATATGGCATTAGCGTATGATCCTACCAGCAAATTCTAGCGCGTTTAAGGGATACTGTGCGCAGGAAGAGGCCTAAATTGCTCAAAAACCAAACTTGGACATTGCATCATGACAATGCGTCTGCTCACGCGTCGTTCCTTGTTCGCAGCTATCTAGCAAAACATCACACTCCCGTTGTGTCCCATCCACCGTATTCACGGAACTAGCCTATGCAAGCATTTTCTTATTTCCCAAACTTAAAACCACATTGAAATGACTTCGTTTCCAGCCCATGGAGGTGATTCAGGACAAGGCAACAAGAGACCTACGCGCCATCCAAAAAACTGCTTTCCAGGAGGCTTTCCAAAAATGGAAGCACCATTGCGAACCGTAGATTGCTAGTAGGGGAACTACTTTGAGAGAAATTGAGCTTAACATGTTGTGCAGTGAGCAGTAAGATGTTACATCAATAGTTCGGTTTGTTTTCCACAAGCCTAGTATACCGGTCTTATTTACTTGAATTTATTCAAATAGATAATGGACAAACAAAGAGGCATACGAGTTTTGGTTATCCATTCATTCTGCTGGACTTTGCATTTTTAATAAATAGCAGTTCAAATCTATTAAAAACTAAGATACCAGCGCAAATATTTGTGGCAACAATTAAACATGACCAACCTTCGTGGTGTTCTTCAACTACATATACATGTAGCCCTTGGTGTTTTCCCGAGGATTGTGGCCATAGCATATCATCTGGATAATTCCAGAATTCTTGCCCACTCGAGGAATTATCGCCACTCCACCGTGGAATAATATGGACGTAGAACATCGTAATGGATAATGTAGCCACACAGCACAGGATCACCATTCGCAACCGCCAACCCCTCAACTTACGAGCAGCAAAGCTGTGGGGAATGATGAACAGCAAAAATAGTGCTTATTTCTAGGCGCTACATCGTAGAAATGCAACAATGCACAAAGCAAATACGGAGTAGAATTGTGACAACCCATTCAGGACTTGAGGAAGTTTGCGCAACAAGGTATTTTTTGTTTAGGAACGAATTTGCAATTTTGTGCTCAGTTACATTAAGCTGAAACACAGAGGCGAACATTCACCCTCATTTTTAACGCAGTTTTCGCTGCTTCTTCCAGATGGAGACACAACATTTTCATTGTCATATCTAAAATTGAGACAATTGTTGCAAATCCTACAGACCTTGCATTTGTACTGTCCAGGAAACCATTTTGCAAACATCTCACGTTGTTACTTGCTCGATTTTTGCGAGAGTTCCCGGTTGATATCCGTCCGCAAGTTTAGTGGCAGTTAAACTGTCTACACGCTGTTTCTATGTAATCACAATTTGCTTCGTACACTTATTTAACGGCACCCAGAAATTCAGGAACTATTGATCACTAGGACGAACAAATGGTTGTGATTTTTGGAAGCCGAACGCATGAAGACAGGTAACTTTGACGCATAATATCAAACACCCAGGGAATTAGCAAAAATAAAGCAACTGAAGAGATAGGTCTGTTTTTCGCATGTTGTCGCACTGATGCCGACCAAGTTAATTTGTTAACTGCTGGGGTGCATGTAAAAAAAATGCAAAATGGCACTGCACTGTGTAATTATGGCTCTAACTCACTTGATCGCAAGATGCATCACAGCGCGCGTTATGTCCAAACATTTGCGTCATGTGGCATTTAGATGGTCGCGATTCTAATTCGCGGTGACTGCGAGGTCGAATCATGTGATAGAAGTTAGTGTCGGGCTGTTATTCCGTAATGCAAACACATGTCGAGTTAACTGGTCAGTGAACCAGAATTGCAAACATAAAGTCAGCGGATCCGATCGTTATTGGCGGATGCATCATCTGAATGTTGTGTCAGCAAAGCAGGTGCTGTATGCTGTGAAACAAGAAAATCGGCCAGCATGGAAGCGGTATAACTCTTCCAACTCATTTCGTGAATGTGCTTTTATGCCCCCAAGAAGAGTGGAGCTTCATGCTTCTTTCCGTGTTCAACTAACATCATGTCTAGAAGCTAACAGTATCGATTTTGTGCGTTTATTGATCCAAACGACATGACATCATAATTACTACCGCTTTAGCGCCCCTACATAAAAATGTGAGCTGTTGATGTTAGCCTGATAGAACTCTTGATGAAGTGAACGGCAAATCATTGGTTCTCAAAAAGTCAAAAGCCATATTATGCCGTACACAATTCAAGTCAATACTCTTTTCGTGCACTCACCAGAGAGGAATATTTAGATACGTCACACGCCACTGATAGAGGTAAATAGTAAGACTGTTACAAATTGATAGACCTAAGCAGCACCTCTTAAAGAATTTAACAGAACTAATGTGGCTGAAGCAATTAGTCAATCAATACTTGTTTAACTAACTTCCGACCCGTTCAAAGCGTCACAAATAGGGTATTGGTGACAGTTGTTGCATAATACATATGGTATTGTACGTTCGTTTTGTTCATAAGTTTTAGCTAACTTCAGATAAGTCTTAGCGGAGGAAATGCTTAGCACAGTTGAACATTTTGGAAGACAGTCGCTTCGCGAATATTAATTTAATTGAATAAAGAATGTAAAAAAGACAGTCCTTGGATTCTGCTTTATCGGGTTAGATATTTCGAGTGCCTCGCACTTTTGAGGCCCCTATCCGAAAAACCGGGGAGATCGCAAGTGGTAGTAGATCCAATGAAGGATACAAGCGCGAAACCATAAAATTAAGTGAGTGGGTACGAGGCAAGACCTGAGACGACAGATATAGATGGGTGGTCCGTTGATTTTCGTGACGATTTCATTAATGTGAGCGAACTAATTAAGGTTGCGGTTTGTTGTCGCATCTGGCCACCTCATTGCTCAGGAGAGGTTAAGAATTTCGCCATCGATGCTAATTTTCGTACAGGGTAAAAACTTCATATGTACACATTGCGGGGTTGCATAAAAGGAAGGTAGATTTGAAAACAATGTTAGGTCATCCAGGAGGCTTAGTCTGTTGTTATTTGGTGGACACATTGGGTCATGTCATCTCCGTTTTTCGACAGGTCTGTGTCTTTTTGGACTAGAATTTCGAAAACATAAGTCAAAACTTGGATTGGAATCAAAAGGAGCTCACTGAAGTACACGGGAATTCGTATTAGGTAACGAAAGGTTTCACTCCAAACTAAATACTGTACAATTTCAGCAAAAGAAGTACAAACATTTTACATTCAGCACCCAACGGATCGCGCAACAATAAAAGAAGGTTAGCAAAACTGTAGGCACAGCTATATTCAAAGAAGCAGATATTTGTGGGTTTATTTTGAACATCCAGTGATGAAAACACGTGATTTACAATCCGAGCTAACACATGTAAGGCGAATATTGGACTGTGGTTTTCGAATTGATAAACATCATTAGTACCTGTCTTGGTTACTATCCTTTCCATCATATTTGCCTCAAAAATCCCAAAGCCATTAAGGGACAAGCAACTGGCCGAGATTTCCTTGTTAATTTGTTCGCATTATTTTGATGCTGGCTCTGATGATTATCCGTGCTCTTTTGTTGCATTGAGTCCAACATCTGCAACCCGTGACTACCTATGCCAAAAAAGCATCACAGGTCATGTAGGCCACAGAAAAGTCCATTTAGAACACGTATTTGGCTCGAATACATTCGGATCAATTTTCCTTTTGATGTTAGACTAACTATAAGAAGTAAGTTTTCTGTGGGCGGTTGCAGCTGTGCAGTAGATAAATCGGTTGAACAATGGAACAACGCTATAATATGATTAAAAATCCGAAACTTGACAAATCCCATGGATGGTTTGTGCGAATTGCATAAATTTGCAAAACTTGGCAGTAAAGGTTAGCGTGCACCCGTGGAGTCACCATATTACCCATATTAACTCACACGTATATCCGTCTACCTCTACTTCGTGGGGTTGGTGAGCACAACGTTTGTGTGGGTCTTGTCATTGCTCGATTAGCGGACTTCAAATGACAATAGTCGAAACGGTGTTCCACGGCAGACAAATTTTGGGTAAAAACTAATTACAACGGCGTTTAAGCCCATTGTATTGAGCGGCCAATTTCAGCTGGTGGACCCACAGCCATGTTTTGCGGCTAAGTGTAACAAAGCGCCGGCAAACGTGACTAGAGTTTTACCAAAATATAATATGCGAAAATTGGTACACCCCGGTAGACGGCGCCAACGTCCGCTGTACACTTCCAGGGTTATCAGTCACAATCGGTATGAAAGATGGAGCAAGTCCATACCATTCTGTTACTATTTGCTGTGGGGTCTCCAGTGTAACCAGCGCGGGTTTTTGAAAAGGTTATCAGGCCTGAATTGCGTAGTCTACATGGGGCCTCACAAATCTGTTTAGCATCTGCGGGAAGACGGTGGGCTACAAACCGTCAAAACGCTTAATGAAAGATATCAACATGGTGATTCCCGGTTTTGCGCACTTTCAGGAACTACTCCTAACAGCAGAGGCCGTTTTGCATCACTACAACAAGGTCGTGCTCCTGGGAAGCTTTCTTGGGTGTGTGGCGTACGTGTACAATTGTACACTTATCCTTGTTGAATGTAGCTACATTTGCCTTTGACGCTTCCGAAGCACTGTCCATAAATCATTGCAACAGATCTTGAGCTGGCTGACTAGTGGTCACCTGCCATGTCATGATAGCATTGGCATTGGTAAAATGACCAGTTGACATGCGCTGTGTCGGTGAGGAAGACTGGGACTATGCGTGGCTCCGACACTGGCTCTGACAGAACACCTCAGTCTACCACAATAGGATCGGATAATGAGACCGGAAAATGTCACCGCTGCTGAGAATGGAAATTTTCGCTACATCCAAGGACAGGTTTTCTATTCCGAATGTTGACAGATTTTGGAGAAGGATAAGGTGATATAAGCGACTGAAGGTTTTTATAAAAGTGGTGATGGATAACATCGGTTCCGGACCCATTAGCAACTCTTTAAATCAAACTGCCGCTCGCAGACAGTATGTTGGCCGTACATGACTGATTTCGACGGCATATGTATTGCTGTGTTAAATCATCTAATGCATATGGTGTAATGTATCCTCAGGATAAGTTTTCAATTCCGCTAACGTAGTAGCACAGACGACGGAATGTGGAAGTAAGCTACACGGTTGAGGTACACGAATAAAGAAAATGTTCCGGTGGTCTTTCACCCTGGCATACTGTGTAACCAACTTCAAATGGTGACCTCTCATTGACATGTGGATGCGATTCAATAAAGATCGTCGTTCCTCGTTAGGATCCGCGGGGATCTGATACACTTGTATATGAGACAACCTCGCAGCAGGCAATATCCTTCACTAAAAACTCCTAGAAAATTCAGTTTTAACTGGTGGTGTGGTGGAGTAATCCGTTAACATTTTTGTCGTCCTCCTTTGTGGATTCTCAAGAGTAGTCAGGTCATGTTTTTCCAATGGCACCAAGTCGAAATGGCCTCATCTACATGTGGTCTCAACTACGCGTTGAGCATTTACGAAAAGAAGTTAGGAACAGACCGGTTAAATGTCTTCAATAGTTGGCCCAGGCGTTGGTTGGTTTTGTATGACTTTCTCAATCTGTCTTGAGCATCAGAGATATTTCTGCACGAGCAACCAAATAAAATCTTTATGAAAGGTACACTGCAAAACCTGTTATCTTAGTCGATACTTGTAGACCATGTGGTGACACATGCGAATTATGTTGTATAGCATGTACAATTTAGATTGGACGTTTCGCAATCCAGATTGGACGTTTTGCAAACCACGGAACGGTCTTGCAAAAACTTTGGGCATTTTGCAAAACAAATAAGACATTTTGCAAACCTAGTTGGACACATTATAATCTAAGCAGAAAATCAGAAATTCGCTTGAAAAATATAAGGAGTAAGCGACTAGACTATCTGCAACACAGCAGCAATACAATCCTGAAAAGCCACTCATTAAAACTCGCAGAACAGTATAACCGTCTGGATTGCTGCAGGAATTTCTTTTCCATTCGTGTATGTCACCCGTGGTATGCCCTCCCAAAATCGCAATTCTCTGTACAGACACTAACAGTATTTAAAAGACGGTTGGATGACTCACTCATCCACTTACACTTTGTTACTTAGCTCTACTCCTGGATTTATTTGATGTCACCTGTGGGTGCTCTGAATGTAAGCGGACTGCAGAACTGCGAGGGAGCAAACGATACGCCCTTCCGATTTGAAATAACGTTGTATTATTATTAGCACCAGTATTGCTTCGATATCACCTCTAACTATACCCCGGGACTTGTAAAGCAGCGGTTATAGACCCGTATAAATACATATTTTTAATTAGTCAATGTTCAGCCCACATTGTAGTCATGCTAAAGCAATCGAACAGTGTAAGTAGCAGGTGCTACTACAAACTCTTCCCTTGATCACGAACCTCGATCACCTTGATCAAATGCGGTGACTAAATATCTCCCTCTCTCCCCATTGTTCATCACATATTTAATGTGCATCTGTGTTTACACATGGACCTGTGTATCTAGTTGCATACCGGAAATTCAAACTCCCGAACCGCGTAGTACCTTATGACCAAAACCATTGTTACCCACCTTTAGAGGACCATTGTGAAGCCCGTGTACTGTAACTGGATTGCGATACACAATCTCAATGTGGACCGCGTTTCCCACTAAAGTAGACCTTGGCCAATTCGATCACTTTGGCCGTAACTGATGAAGCAGATAGG